GAACCATCTGTCTCCGGCTAACACATCACTTGAACATCCAGACCTCTTAGCCTGATTTGCAGGACCAAGTGGAAGACAAACAAGCTTCCTTTTTTTTCTCTAAGTAATTCATTGACATTAGATTTCCGCTGGGAAATCACAGCACGCACATTTTTGTTTTGGGCCTGCGTCACAACACGCGCCTCTGACCTCCTGCAGACAGCACCATACAGTACAGGAGGGCCTCCGAGTGACTCAGGTGGTAAGAGACTCCAGTCAGGGCACTGGTGTAGCCAGGAATTACATGAAGTCTGTTTGTTTAGACTGGTTTTGTGGCTGATGACTGATTGCCAGACTTGTAGCGCATTAGTCCACATTTAATGAGCTGCTTGCTGGCTCTGTGGTTTGAGGGTTAGCTCTTGGGTCCTGGACTCGATTCCTTACTGGAGCACCAGTGGAGTTTGCATGCCCTCCATCACTTCCCTTTTGCATGTGGGTTTTCTCCAGGTGCTCCAGGTGTCCTCCTGCCCTTTAAAGACGTGCTGGCTAGAGTGTGGCGTTGTGTCTAGGGCGCAGTCCTGACCTGTGCCACGAGTCTCCAGTCTCCAGGCTCAGCTCCGGTTTGCTGCGACTTGCAGCTGGGACAGGGGTGCCGTCCGGCATCGCTGATGGTGGCGTCGGTAGGGAACGCGGAGCTCGTAGCGTGTCAGAGGAGGATCATGGGAGGCCGTGTCTTCCTGTGGGGGTGCAGAAGCCCTGGCCATAGTCTGGACCCCAGCCTGGGTGGGTGTGAGATTAAAAGCAACGGAAAGACCTGAAGTGATCAGCACTTTTTCAAGCACAGACACAGGACTGGGCAGCAGTGCTATAAAAAGTAGACCTCTTTCCTCTCTTTCCTGCTGAGAGAAGGCGGCAGGCAGCTCTCCTGACACTCTCGGGCGTTTCTTTTCGCTATTTTTAGCTGTTTGTCTGGGATGCGTAGAGAATGAAAAGTGACTCTGTCAAACGTGCAAGAGCTAAACACCCACCTACACTGCGCCGAGAGAAAGGGAGAGGGAGACAGGGGCTGAGGCTGTACAGATAGCGTGGGAGCAACAACTGGGAGAAACACGCACAGATTCTCAGAAGAGGAGAAGAAAGAGGAAGATGTACAATATATTTGTCTGTTCTAAGGCTAGGAGAGAGGGAGGCAGCATGGGCTCCTGCTTAAAGCTGAGAGTGAGGTAGGCAGGGTGGCAGTGACTTACTGTATTTGTAATAGTAGAGTGGGAAAGGAGGCACTGTGGGCCTGTGGTTAGAGCTGAGGCTTTTGGAGAGGCACTGTGGGCTTGTGGTTAGAGCTGAG